CACCGGGATTTCGTAGATTAACTTCGATACGACCTGTCCAGTCTTGAGATGTCTCCAGGTCACAACAGTAGCTGGAATGCTTGTTTGTGTCCAAAGTGGATGTGGCTCTTAGGGAGCCGTCTGGCTATGTCAGCTTGCAGCATGCAAACAAGTTTTGACTGTATGTCAAAAGAGATATCTCAAAGATGCTTGTTCCGAATTGGCTGGTTTGGAACTCCGCTAGAAACTGAATTACTCGGGAGGTAATTGTTGTTTTATCAAGCTACTTTGTTATGATTTCTGGCCAATCTGGCAAAGCCATGTCTGGAAGGCTTTACCAAAACATTCCTCAGAAAGCCACACCTTCCTTCAGATTCAAGCTTCTGAACACTGTGAATAAGAATCTTTAAACTTTATGTGGGGTGAACCTTAACCTTAATTTGTATCTTATGAAGATGTGTATGAGTGTAGATAATGACTAACTTGTTAAATCAAACACATACTGATCATAAGATCTGCAATGGATCATTTTAAGAGCAATATTCATTTCAACTTCGTTGATTAAAGAACAAATTATTCAAACATTTGATTTAAACATCTTGTTCATTCAACCATATGATTATTTAACTTATAAGTTGTAAAGCCATGTGAGAATTGTGTGAATTCACTTTTATTCCGAGTGAGGAATCCAGCAGTCTGACTTTTACGCAGAGAGGTAAGGGCTTTTGCGGGAGACCTTGACAGTTTATTTATGTCTGTGTTGAAGAACAATAAGTGAGCAAAAGGTTGATTTGTGCGTCTGGATCCTCCAGCTGGTGTAACCTTGACTTTGCAGCTCTGGCATGTATGAAAGGTTACTGTGTCAATACGATGATGGAAATTCACCCATTTGATTCATTACATTGCCGCATATAACATAAGTATATTTCTGTAACAATTTTCAAAAATATTTATTTTCATACAAAATATCAGAGAAAATCAAGTGAATAGAAGATGGACGCTGGCCCTGCTCCGGTTAACGAAATCCCCAAATAAAAAAACACGAACAAGTAAATAGTAAATAAACATCATGTTTTGAATAGCATAGATGATTATAAGACACTTTAAAAATAATCTTACTAATTTTAGAACTTTATATCACTGTAGAATAATACAGAATATCACAATTATTAAACAATACAGCATATTTTAATAAAAATTGATCACTGTAGAATATTTTTGAAAGTTATTGAACAATAAATACTATTTCTAATTGAATAGAGATATTTAGAATGTTTTAGAATATTATATTTTTGAGAATCTGCTCAATGACATCTTCCTCTTCTTCATCCTCATCACTGATTGTGAGATTGGCTGGCACAATAACTGTCCTCCATTTTCCATAGAAATCGTAGATTAAAACTGCAAAATATATTTAATATTCTGATTGTTATTATCACTGTTACCATCAATATGAAGGTTTACCTAAAAATACGCATCATTTATTTTACTTGTTCAGGGCACACAGTATGATCAAACATGGCAGCTGCTGTGATTTCACCAACATCACTGAGTTTAACATTTACATCACATATGTCCTTATTTAGTCAACCTTGTGATGTGAGAGTTTCATGGACCTAGCATTGTTAGTTTTAGAGATCTGACCGTAAACACGAGAGGAGACAGAGCAGTTTTCTGGTTCTGCAGGCACACCAATATTTGGCACGTTTTAGCCCCGCGCTGACTGGTGGAATGGTGCCATGACACAAACTGTGACAAGCTTGATTTCTGATGATTGGTTGGGTGAAATCCTGTAGCTTGTCTGTGAAAGGCACAATGACATCATTTATTGTGTGAGAGGAAGTGTTTAAATACAGACGCTGGCCCTATAAAGGGTTAAATCACAACAAGAAGTTATTCTGTTTAAGATCCTCCAGCCGGTTCCTCTTTTGATGCCTCCTCATTCAAGTTGCTTTACAAGCACACCTTCCTTTAATAAACCATGTCTGATTTCATTAATGTCATGTTTGTTTCCTTTGAAGAAGCTTGTTTCTTTTCTTTTTTTATTTTTATTTTATTCCAGGGGTCGTTACTGCTGCTTTCCATGACTCAGGGATTTTGCTAATGCACACGGAAGGTAAGGGAGGTTCCAGAGCAGAAACTGTGCCAGATATGATTTATTATAAATTACAACATCTGCAGGCTGTTACAATCTTTTTGACTAAAGTAATTCTGACTGAATTGGGATCACCTTCTCAGTGACTTGCACCTGTTTATCAAGATTCACTGGAAAGTGTGTGATTAATAGTTCTCAAAATATAACCAGGTTGGTGCTAAAATACTGTTTAATTCTCTCTTTTTCATAGATTCATCAAAAGAAATGGGATCAACTTGAGACTTAGTGACTTAATTATGTGTGAGCACAACTGTGGCTCATCCCTTCAGTTAGGAGCCTTTTTATGTTGGAATGACTCACAGATCAGAGAAAAGGATAAACATCCAACATGAAGATGTAAAACCAAACCTGTAGAATAACATTCTCTAGTTAGATGAACTCACACTGAACTGAGAATTTTCCCAATATGGCTGCTGAGGGCTCTAAAATCACCCAATTACCAAAAATAGTTAAATAAATAAATAAATAACAACCTAAAATCTTATTGTGACTAATAACAGTTTTAGTTTAAGTAACCTTGATGTTACGCTTAAATAAAACAGCCATAATTAATGTCATTACTTAATTTCTTGTCTTGCCCCGAGCCAGAGCCGTTATCATTAGTTGGAGAGGCCTTTTTTTCCTAAGTGAGAGTGTAAGCTCTAAGGAAAAACATCTTTTCATTTTTGTTGTAAGTACATGCGGATAAATGACTTGCTTAGAACAAAAAAGTGAAGGTGACACAAGCGTAGATTGAAACCTCAGATATTTTTAAGAGAGGAAATGATAACAAAGTGAGGCTGTAAAGAAAGTTTATTTCTCTTTCCTGACTGCAGCAGAACCGACTGCACCACTTTGACCTCAGAATAAAAAATCTAAATGGTGTCATTGATCTAATAAATAAATCAACATAGAAATAAGAAACATAGCACACTGACAGCCACATCCAAACACTTTTATTTAATTGTGATGACTGGCTTCACTAAAGTCTCTTAAAGCTGAGAAACTGTGGTTTTACGGAGAGAATCAAGTCAATTTGAATGAAGTGGAACACAGTGTTTTTCCCTCCATCAAGGCACCAGCTGACTTCCATTAAATCAACCTGCAGATACCTGAAATAGCAGACCAGCCTAGTAATCCATCACAATTGTCTTCATGTCTGTTTTTATTGCTGTCAAAGTTATATTAAAAATGGGTGCTCATTCCAATTTCCAATGAAATGTTCTGTACACAGTAATGTAACCAGATCAGGAATAAAAGCAGGAACAGATCTGCTCACTGTGATGGATTGCTTTCCTCATGCAAGTTTAAATTTTATTCCTGAAATTATCTATTTTCTCTGGTTTCCTCCTAACACGGATGGTTGGATGTGATGGAGGTTTGGTGTTTCTAATGATGGCTTAATGTAAAGTTGTGGTACAAGTTGATCTGTTTAGGTGTTTTGCATAAAAATAGATTTCAGCTACATTTATCTACATTTTTAATGTGTTTTTCTCCTTCTGTCAAACAACAGCTGACCTCCTAAATTCTTTTACATTTGAACCACTCATTCTGTAATTTTGCTAAATGTTTTTACAACACATTTTCTGTGGTTTCCTGCTTGAACGAATTCCTTCTGAGTCGATCTCTGTACACAAAAAGCTCTGGCTCTTCTGTACGTGAAAATAGAAGTGAGTCAGAGCAGAGGTGAGCTTCAGATGGCAGCATTTGGTGCCTTACTACCTCATATTCAGACATCTTGTTCCTGATTGGCTAACAGCCATGTCAGGGGCGGTGTTAAGGTGTGGATAATTGGCCTCAATCCCCAGATGTCTTCCCTGAATCTGAATATTACTTTTGAGAGGGGAACAAAAAAACGCTTGGAAGTAATGTGCAGTACTAGCATCCACCAGAGAAGCAGCAGCTGCGTAAAGTAGCCTGCATGCATCCCAAAGAGTCTTCCCATAAGATGGCGTTTGCCTTGGACAGACTCATGGCTGTTTAAATGTTGTTCTGGATGAATCTGCGCTCTGCTTCTACACTGGAGACAGAATAACAAGCGCTACTTCAGCCAGAGTTTTAAAATCAGGGAACATGTGGTTCCGCTGCACTGGAGCGTGCCTGTGACCTATGACAGAGGCGTTTCAAGCTCCTGTTCATCACTCTTCATCACTCTGTCCACTTGCACATGCTGCCATTAGTGAGATTCAGTGAGAATGGTGTCCAAGTGTGAGATAATGCTCAGATGCTCTGATGGGAATCTTTTCTCGATTGATTTGCGATGTACTTTATGTGCGTATATAGTGTTTAAAATGTCTGTACATAAGTCTGGATTATGATTTCTCTGTCACCATGAAAAAAATAAACTAAAATATCTAGTTAAAGGGATACTTTGTAACTTTTGCATATTTTAAAATCATTTTCTTGAGCCAGGATGTGCTAAAATGACCCTTTACAGGGTTAATGACATTTTACTCAGACTCCCACTGCTCTATGTGGCCAGAAAGTTGCACTTGCAACTTCAGAGTGGCGGGCCACAACATTTGGCTGACATGCCTGGTGCTGGAGTCTGCTTTCAGCATGCTTCCTGCATGTTTTAGATCATGAACACAGCTGATATGTTTGATTTAGTGATGAATCGCTCCTGTAGAAACTAATGAAGGCTGGGGAGACATTTTAGCTTTTCGATTAAGGCGTTAAAAAGACAAACACACAGCGAGGAGATATATTTCACTTTTGGTTCTACTAAACAGACACTAGGTGGTGCTAAACACAAGTCAAAACTGCCAAGTGTGCCTTTAACATAACCCCTGATATCTATCTATCTATCTATCTATCTATCTATCTATCTATCTATCTGATAGATAGATTGATAGATAGATAGAAATGTATCCGGGGGTGTACATAA